TACAGTAATACAGTTCAGGAGAAATGCCGTGTGAGTGCGCTTGAAGGAACAGCCGGCCCGCAGAAAACGGGGATAGCTGGACCGTGGATTCTGGCATCAGTGGATATTTTGTCCACAGCCTGCGTCTTAGACGAGAAATAGCTGGTAATTACCAATGCCAATCAACGAGACCTATCGCGGCCCAAGAAGGAACTGTATGACGTAAACACCAACGGATTGGGTCTGTCGACCAGGCAGGGGCGCTGCCGGTTCAAGGCATGGTGCTCTGTGAGTATGGTCATCGGGTCGACTTTTAACGCTTTGTCGGAAGTGATCGGCAGTGAAAAAAAACGGAAAAATAAAGGTAAAATGCATCGCACTCTCATGGCGGCGCCACTGTTTGCGCATCAATGGTAAGAACTCGTGACAGGCTGGGCTCCGTCTAAATCTAAAACATGAAAATAAAATAAAACCTGGTGTATGCAGCGCCTTGCTTGGATCTGTAAGGTAGGCTGAACCACATCAACTTGCCTCGCCAGCATGACAAATTCTTATCAAGAACAATAAGCATGCGCATAAAAAATGTGTGCATTAATTTACATGCTTCTCTCATACACCACCTACGACCCATGGTAATGCACACTACCATTGCAACTTACGTTTCTATACACGGAGGGTCTCTGGCATGATTGTAGACATTTTAATGAGGGCAAAATTGATCGACCGTGAGTCAGTTATTACATTTTGAATATAGGAAACAAGTCTGAATAAGCAGTGAGCTTTCGACCTTCAGTCAGCCACAACCCTGCAATCAGCAAGCAGCATGGCAAGTCAGGCATAGCACCGCGCAGTCTCTTCGCTAGCGTATAATATACGTGACTCCGTCCAAACAAGTCCAAACTATTTTCCATCCACCATTCAACGTGCTACTCTCCAGTACTACGCCTATCAGACCCTTTTAATAGCATGCAGATGTCACGAGAGAGAGCCGGGCATAAATTCACTCATTTCCCGATGAATTGAAAGCGTCGGCTGAAGCGAGGAGAGCTGATCAATGATAAGGTCTGCCTCGTTTAGTAGTATCTTCTCTCTTTTTTATGCATTGAAGTGGTGCGGGGTTGTGAGCCCCAGGCTCGGCCCGTTGTTTTGCCCTACTGTCGAAGAAAGGTCTCCTGGCCCTGACCAAACGCGCTCAAACTGGCCCGGCCGACCGTGATATGAGTTTGCACACGGCTCGATAAATCTCACGCTGTCCGGTCTGGCAGCAAGCTGATAGGACAGGGCACAGTCCCTACACTGTGAAAGGCCTTCGCCTGAATCATCCTGCATGTGTCCACTCTGTCATGGACGGTGCCAGCGGCGTAGAGCGGCTCCACCCCGGCGAGCAGGCGAACTAAGCTGGAGCGTGTCCCGTCGACGCGCCTCCGCGGTCGTGAGGTGGGTGACGGCTGGCCGCCGGCCCCGCCCTGGGGACGGGAACGCAGAGCGGCGCCATTGCCGCGGCTCAGCGCCTTGCGTGCGCTGATGAACGTGCTCGGGCGGAACAGTGTCGTGACGTGCCAGAATGCTGGCCTGCCCGCGACAAACCATTCACGGGCTGAGCCAGTGACCAAACTGTATTAACGACCTATGGCACAATAATGCATGAGTAGCTGAGTGACGTTTATTACCCGGCGTGATCAGGAACAACTAAACGTTTCGCTCGAGGCGTGTGCCATGCTAAGTGATACTGCTCCCTTCGTCAGCGCCCTTTACACTTGTGGTCGTAGATTTCCAAGTGATATTTACGCAGATATTCGCACTTCGGTAACCTGTGTGGACCATTGCAACCCCGGTGGTGTTCTGCGTTCTTCTGGGCGCATTTTTTTCACACGCAATTGACACGTGCCAACGGGCGTAACGCCGCAAAATGAGTGGGTGGCTGAGCATTGGAAATTACGCAAAACCACCCGACAATGCCTTAACCAAGTGGCTTCCACCCGAATTCGGCCCTTTTCATTCTCTAAATTAGGGTGGGGCCGAAGCTCCCCTAATTCAATGGCGAACTACGCACCTGACCTACGCGGTAAGCCCTAACCCCAGACGGACATTCCGTAGTCTCTAGGGCTGATAGAACTGGCATGGACTTAAGACTAGCGCCGCCAGTCCACACTTTTCTCAGACCGTGTAAGCCACTGGAGGGAACGGCAACATTCACCTGTTTGTGCAGCTTGCCACTCATAAACTAGAGTTTGACGCACAGACAATTTGTTTGCTCCATCAGTACGTAACTTCAACGCGGTCCTAATGCATTGTTAAATAGGAGCGTGCGTTGGATTTTACAGTTGGGCGGGGAGAACAACTCCAGCGGAGCCGAAAAGAAAGTCGAGGCAAGCGCACCGCAGACACGCGCAATTTTACGTGCGTCGCAAAACACCGTTCTGATCTAGATTTTTTGAATCAGAGATCGTGCTAAGCAGCACTAAGTTGTTGTGTGATCCTGACCCTTACCAGTCAAAGCGTAAAATCTCTGGGTTAACGGCAAAATTTTGTGGCAAAAGTAAATAACGCAATGCCGTCATGGTTTGGCTATAACCCTCTGAATTGACAAGATCCTTAACCGCGGCCACTGCCCCCGGCCGCAGGCGATATCTGCCGGGGAATAACAGGAATCGCCTAAAGCGACTCGAACCCCACCCCGCACGAGCGGGTGAAAGGAAGGCAGGTGTTCTAGCCAGCTGATCTGTCGGGAAGGACCTGAGCTATCGGAACGGACGTCTGATTTTCCACGGATCATCTTGCCTGATCATGTCTCCCTTAGCTTTGCTCTTTGCTTTATCTAGCTGATCTTCTTGGATCTTCCAGAGTATTGCATCACAGATAGGATATTGAGGAACGAAATCGAGTCAGTTGTGTTGTGGTGTTTGAGAGGGAAAACAACTTTTTGGTGCGGTATGAACTAGTTTTTGCGAAGAGACCTGAAATCTGAAATCTCAAAACGTAACAGAGAACCTCAAGAAAGACAGCAAAGATATAAATGCCTTTAGCTGCTACTGCCTGGGGGGGGGGGGGGCATGATATTTTTTTCGGATGTACCTAGAGCTCGGACCGCCCCTTACAAAAACCCTTTGTGCTCTCTTGAGGCGTGTTTGGTCCAGTAAAAACTCTTTAACGTATCATTCTCTGTCTAATATGCATCCACGGAGATTTGCGTTCGGCACGTCCAGGACTTATCCGCCCATCACGTCCCTGTTCACGGCACTAGAATGAGGCAACGAACCACCAATTTCGCAAGTGGGTTGAAAATGAGCATGCGTGTTTAGAAAGCTGCGTTTATGTGTGAGGAGGCGTGTGCTGTCATCAGTTTGAACAGTTGGGATGAGTCTGTTGTTTCAGTACCATGTCCGCCCGCTGCGCCTCCGGCCCGTCTGGCACTGGTCGGCCAAGTGCGACGCCGAGCAGCGGCGCCTGCTTACCAACGCGCTGTCCGAGCCGACACCCCTCCCCCTTCCTCCTCTGCGCTTTGGCGCGGCTGGTGCGCCCCACCGGCTTGTTTGGGTTCGCTTGCGCTGGCTACGTCGCGGTCAGGCCGCAGGGGTCAAGGCGTGCGCCCTCCCCCCTCCCCCCCCCCGCCAGCTACGTCATGCTGAAGCGCTGGAGAGAGCCCTAGGCATAACGCCAGTTAGAGTTAACCCTGATGAAGCTGACAATTACATCGGAACATCAGGAAGCTCTGCAAGCAAATGCAGTGGCAATCGAAGGGGTGGGAGTGTCCACACGTCGTGGGAAGTACCACTCAAATGAAGTATTGAGTATTTTGTCATAGGTGAGCAAACGTGATTACTTACGTTTTCGCAGCCCGACGTGAAATGTGCTACTCATCGGTGACAAAGTCAAAGCCCGGTAGATCTGCCGCCTCAGAACGATTAACATCAAATGATTCATATATATTTGATTTCCAGATCATGCAGGAAAGGTTCTCATCACTAAAAAGGTGACATGGTTCTCAATGGGCTTGCGCGCGATGTCCTTTTTTGCATTCGTCCCACCGGCAGGCAAGTACAAACATGTCATCTAAGGAACACGATTAAAATAGACATGGGCCCATGTGTATATTGGGATCTGATTCTATCGTCGTTTAATGTAACGGATAGAAAGCTAGACATGTTTGATATTTGTGCAACGAATGTTTGCATGTGCGAAGATGACCAGTTCTGTCATGCATCCTTGTCATTCAAATAGCTTAACCGACCTTATTTCCATGCAAACGTCTCCCTTGGCGGATAAACTGCACTGGCAGACCCGGTATCAGTCTGATCGATCGCCGTGCCTCCCGGCTCAGAGTCTGGCGCGGGACCTGGCCAGCACGGCGCGAATGTTGCCCGACGGCTTGTCGACCGGCAGGAACACCTCGTTGTTGGTTGCGCTGCCCACGCCTGGGAATTTGGACAAATCCACTGCGAAGTAGTGCTTGTTGGGCATCACCATCTCCACTTCGCCGACGGCGGGCAGCTGGTTCAGGATCTTCACCTGCGCCAGATACAGTGTATTCTGCACGGAGGGCGAGAACACGCCGCCCTTGGCCGGTCCGGCGAACAGGTCCAGCACGATCTCCCGCACCGTGGCCCAGCTGGCGTCGTAGTCGACGTCCCGCAGCGCGTCGTACCGCCAATTGGCCCCCACCACCGTCGAAAAGACGCGGTCGGCCATGTCTGGCAGCGAGCGGTATTCGTCGCGCACGAAGTTGACGAACGCCGACTGCGTTGTCTTCAGCACCTGCAGACCCTTGAGTCCGGCCACACGACCGGCAGTGCGCCGCGCTCCTGGCGCACCTGGCACGTTCGCACGGCCTCTCGACAGGTCACGAAGGCATGCTCGTGCGGCTGACCCCCTGCCTCGATGCGCCGCCATGGGTGCACTTCCACCAGGATGTTGACCCGATTCGCGTGCGAGTACTTGGCGAGGAAGTGCGAGCAGAGCAGGAGGCCGAACGCCTCGGGCGTGGTCAGGCCATGGTTCTTGGCCAGCAGATAGATGGTGTTCTTCTGCGAATCGGTGGCAACAATGTCCGAGTTGTCTCCGTTGATATAGTCCTTTTGGAGTCGAGAGTCAGCTCACTGCACACCTCCCACTCGCGGATCGTGTGCACGGACCCCTGCCGGTGCACGTGCAGCAGCTTTACCCAGTTCTTGCCGTAGTTGCTGTCCACGATCTCGTAGGCCATGGCGGCGGCGGTCGGTCGGCGCTATCGCACTGCTGGTGGGACTTCGTTTGTGACTGTCCTGTGAGCCGCGTTGTGAGGTCTGGCCTCTGTCGCCAGGCGGCCAGATGTCCCCGTCCGGGGACGGGGGACCAGATGTTTATCGAAGCCTCCGGGCCAGGGGTGACGTGGGCGAAGCAGGGCGCCAGGCATAACTGGTTGTATAATGCGCGGCCCAGATTGTCTCCCTCTCACCAAATTCTCACGCTTGTCCATCGAGGAAAATTGGCATTTCATTTCGTGTTAGCGTCTTACATAGCTTTTTTGTCATCTGCTGCAACGAGTGAGAAAGTGATGTAACGAACCGAAGCTAGCGAACGGTGTAACGAGCCGAAAAGTCACCGCGTGGATGGCTTCCGAGCAAACAAATACAAATGCAAATACCTGAATGAGATTTCACCGGGCTTGTTTACGATTTTACGCTGTTTTTGTTTCTGCACCCAGCTGCGTTGGTCTAGCTGTATTTCGGCCTACACGGTTTCTCAGACGGCAGACAGTCTACCTTCAAACAAAAATCACTATGAGGGTATTAAAAAAGTTTTGGAGAATTGCGATATGGGCCCACTAAGGCTTTCTTGTTTCGTCTTTCTTACGCCTCGATGTATAGTTGAAGTAACATGGTTTGTGGGCTAAGAGATCACGTTTAGAATCGTGTGCAGATAGAAAACTGATGGAGGGCCAGCTAGTTCGATACACGGGGAAAACTAACGGCACCGACGATTGCAACACCGTCCAATACGTCTTGAGATGACAATGTTCGAGATGATACCAAGATGTACTGTATTTTTGCCAAGATGGAGGTGGCACAGGGGGCTTCGTGACGCAGGACATGGCAAAACGCTGAAGAGGATTTCGCGCCGGACAGCAGGCAGTCTCGCATCACGTCTCCTCAGATCCAGTTCGATTTGGACGCCTGCCAAGGCCAAAGCTGGGAAACGCGGGAAACAGCCAAGATCTGGTCTGGTTGTGAGATTCATCATCACTGATGACACGAACTGCCGCTCTTGTGTCGATCTTACGACCCTCCCATACCATGATGCATCAAGAACGGCCAATGAAATTGTGGCACTCTTGAAACTGAAAGGGCAGCTGAGGTAGCGCACGTCATCTGCCTTGAGCTATGGAGCGTTTTTGTTTTGTCGGTGTTTGTAAACTGTTAACTGTAGATTGTTGATTAACACGCGTTCGGGTGGGGAGGGGGTCAACTTGACCCTCCCAAAGGTTTTCTAGAATGGTTTCCGAACGGCGCGGCGCAGCCGCACCAAATTTTGCAAAGCTATATATAATTTAATAGCGGATCGTTTGACATCAAAACGTTAGACGTACCATGTTAGGTTGCTGACCTATGGCAGGTCAAAGTTAGCGTAGCCATGGTTTTAGCGTAGGCAATATCTAGGGAATCCTTCAATTTGATCTAACAACGGAGTGCTAGACGAAGCCATACATCTCTGAGATGCTTTCTCAGGCAACACAACAGTTGAATGAGCAAATTGCATCGACCTAAGTTCAGGTATAAAGGTCATACCAAGGTCAAAACCAACCTGTTCTGTTGCTCCAGGGCTTGCTGTACGGGATAGTTTCTGGTGCTCATTTCGAGTTTATTGATAGCAGGAACCGCATTATACATCTTCCATGGTCCTGTTAGAGGTCAGAATAAGTAATTGACCTAAAATAACCCAGGTAAACATTTTGTTTTAGGAACAAGCTGCCTAGCGTAATCTTTGTCGAGTTGTCCAATGCCAAACTTAAAGCAATCTTGTATGATTTTGGACACCTTGACCTTCAAAATGTCAAAAAAAGGTCACTGACCTTGAATGAGAATGTGAACTTTTGCTTAGAAACGGTTATCTATGTGCTGGGTGCACTTTGGAGACCAACCTGATACTTGGCCTTGTTTGACCTTTTTTGACCCAAAGGTCATGACCTAGGAACCTGAAAATTTTACCCAAATACTTTCACGTACAGGTTAACACACCCTGTAAATTTGGTGTATCTGACTTTCTTAGTTCCCGAGATCTCAAGGGGGTCAAGTTGACCCCCCACCCGAACGAAGGATATCTAGCCGGTCACCCGGGCGCGTGTTAAACGACCAAACAAGTTACACACATGTGAAAGGCTTTGAAACTCTCCACGGACGATGTATTCACTCCCAGCCTCAGAGAGCGCTGCAATTATATCGTATGCTTGGTGTCGTGTGAGCCATTTCATCCTGGTTTAATGACCAAAATACAACATCAGTCAAATGGCCCAAAACTACCGGGCCTCTGAGCCTCCCGACCCTACTGGGGATTACTCCCGCGGTGGAAGGCGGCTTACGCATAGCTAAGCTGCTTGCCAATGCATATATACAATACGAAAAGGGGAAACAGTGAACGTCACTAATTTTGTCCCTCAGGACTTTATCAATGTGTTTATGCACAAAGCCTCCCTGCGGCAACCGAGGTGAGGTCGCCATGTTTCATCATTGGCTGGTCGACGTCAGGTTCTCTGAGTTTGGTGTGTGTCCCTACATCCAACCCGTTGGACGTTACAACTGAACGCGCTACCCCTTGGTGGTCTGCGGCTCTGTAGCAAAGGCAGCATACACAGGCCTGCTGCAGCTGGGCAGTCAGCTATACATTCAGCAGGCAGGTCCCTTGGTGGTCTGCGGCTCTGTAGCAAAGGCAGCATACACCGGCCTGCTGCAGCCGGGCAGCCAGCTGTGCGTTCAGCAGGCAGGTCACGTGGTTGGCATCGGAAGGTGCTCAGGTACGGCGCGGAGTCGTCCTCGGTCGGGCTGCGCTCACCTTCGGGGGTTGTTGGTGCTAACCCAAGAGCCTTCAGCATGTCCTCCGTTTGCAGCAGCCTCATCACAGGCGAGGCGGCAGGCAGGCGTACCCGAGGAGGGCAGCGATATGACGGCTCGTGGAACGGCCGCTCAAGGTCGGTGGTGGCCCGATGTTATGTTGCGAGCTTCATTCGCACTAAAACAACAGGCTGGAAATGACTCCAGCCTAAAAACAACCGTAGCTGGCCTTGAACACGCCCTGGCTGGTTACTTCATGCAATCATAGTGAAACCAAATCTCCCTTTAAATCGCCTGATTTGATGTAAGTTCGTGTCCTCCGAAAATTACAATATGCTCGAGCAATGCGCCAAACAGCTCTTGATTTACGCCGCCGGAACGAGAGACGTTCGGTTCAAGTTGTTGATGCCTCCAGCACTTGTTTTTGCAAACATAGTATTTTGCTTGTGTTTGCGATGCACCCTTGCCAGAGGCCTAGTGACAACTTACAAAATGAAGTCAACATATTTCCACGAAACTGAGCTTTCCTTCTGATCTCCAGAAAAGCACAGAAAGTGTTCTACAGAGGATTCGGGTTGCTGCCGTTTAAATGTGTTGGCGTTTGTTGTCGCTGCTCAGCTTGCATGCAGACGAGCCCAGCCTGGCAGGCGGAGCAGCCCAGCAGACGAGCCCAGCCTGGCAGGCGGAGCAGCCCAGCAGACGAGCACAGGCCGGCAGGCGGAGCAGCCCAGCAGCCGAGCCCGGGCCGGCAGGCGGAGCAGCCCAGCAGACGAGCCCAGCCTGGCAGGCGGAGCAGCCCAGTAGACGACCCCGAACCGGCAGGCGGAGCAGCCCAGCAGACGAGCTCAGCCTGGCAGGCGGAGCAACCCAACAGCCGAGTCCGGGCCGGTAGGCGGAGCAGCCATGCAGACGAGCCCAGCTTGGCAGGCAGAGCAACCCAGCAGATGGCTCAAAACACGGCCGACGTGTTGCCGCCTCGCCGTGAAATGCAAATCCAGCGAATTCAATTTACTAATGGACAAGGCTGCAACCTGCGGCAAACATTCGCTTGGAAATCGGAATTTACATTCTGCCGTCTCTTGGAGCGTCATTCTGCCGTCACTGGGAGCGGCATTCTGCCGTCACTGGGAGTGTCATTCTACCGTCACTGGGAGCGGCACTCCGCCGTCACTGGGAGTGTCATTCTGCCGTCACTGGGAGCGGCACTCCGCCGTCACTGGGAGTGTCATTCTGCCGTCACTGGGAACGGCATTCTGCCGTCACTGGGAGTGTCATACTGCCGTCACTGGGAGTGTTGTTCCGCCATCACTGGGAGCGGCACTTTCCCGTCAATGGGAGTGTCATTCCGCCGTCACTGGCAGCGGCATTCTTTGAAGTCGGCCGCTCTGAATAACGTCATCACGGCGGGGTGTCGCACCGAGCGCTGGATCATTGCGGGGCGTCGCAACGGGCTCTGGATGAGAAATCAGTGGGCAAATGGTGCCTGCTTCAGTTCTAATAACACCTGTTTCTTCCCACAGATAGGTCCGGAATGTAAATGAGCATACAACAGTCGTAGATGTACGAAGATATCAAATCTAGAAGCATGTCCACGGAGAAGCTGACATTGATAACGTTACTGCTTGCATTTCAACGTGCAGTTTCTGAAGCCGAAGAAATGAAGGTATCTGTAAGGGGTTTCATATGTTAAATTACAACAACTGACCCTAACAAGCATAATGTTTGTGTTGGTGCTGTACCCAAGCGTTATGGTGTCGTAGTCGGAAACGGAAAGGACTCAACAAGATTAGTATTTCGAGCTCAGCATATACGTGTCCTGAATGATAATCACTTCAGTATGATCTCTCCAGGGACAGGGAGAGGGTTCATGTTGGTGTAGTTACTATGCGCCCAGATATAGCTTGCTTGCACTTAATGCCGGCTTTTTGTATCCTGACTTGACACATTGGCAGGTTGCATAACACTCTGCGGTCTAAGTGTGGTGTGCGGATGTACATGTGTTGCGTATATGTGTTGTACATTGATTGCGCACATGTCGGATTGCTTGAACTGTAGCTTGTTAGCCGAACCCGCACCCCACTTTGCTTACCGGAAGCGGTCTGAGTTCTTGAGTAGGCACTACATTTGTGCCTGGTGCCTCACATTCGCAGCTGGGCACTGCATCCCTCACCCGCGTGGCTATTTCATGCAAATCAGCGCTGTATGCCGTTAGTTTGTAAGCCGTCTCGGTGCCAGACATTTCAATTTTGGCCCACACAAAGTCGTCAGAAGTTTCAGTGCTGTCTCAGACCCAAGACGCGCGACCCAGTAACCTCGACGCGTTTCACCAGGGTCTCTTGCGCCGTGACTGGAGTGCTGTTTATTGATCTGGACGTGTCAACACGACGTGATCCTGCCGGGCAGCGTCACTGTGTCGCTGTCAGGCTCCCTAACAGATAGCGCCAGCTATCTAAGGGAGGGGATGGGGAAGGGGGCGGATAATGAGTCGTGCCGACGCGAAGTATGGCATTGCGCACAGGGTGGGTCCACACGGACCGGGGCCAGGGAGTTCAAATGTGCGGCACACCATAAACGGCAAAAAATCCCATTAAGGTGTGACCGCGCCTGCCAGCTTTGACATCTTGGAAGCTATTCTTTATAAAGGTTTAATGGTGGCGGATGATGAGGTAGCTATACGACCTAGCGAATTTACCTGTTCGACTGTCTCGTGTTTGGAACTGTGCATTCTAAGTCATCCGCGTCGACTCCGATGGTCTGTGCACCAAGGTGTCAAAAGTATCCTCGTTCCATTGGCTCCATACTTTTACACATCGTTAGCACTCGTCGTACGGGGGAAGAAGAAGGGCTTAAAGACCCACTAAGGTGTTTTTGGAATACATCCGGAATAGTCAGGTCATTGAAGCTCAAGCTAGATCGAACCGTGACGTTTGTGGTCAGGTGTTGCCATTTATAGCATATAAGATTGAAATCATGATAGTGAAGTGCAGAGCAACGGCACATTTTAAGGCGCCGGTGTTGAGACAGTCTTGATGCGCATCTGTTATCAAGATCATTTTCAGTCAAGGTTGCTGAATTTTTCAAGAGTTGAGTATTCCTGCAAGTACGTGCTGCGTAAGTGAGATCGCACGACAGGAAGGCTAAGAGGCCGTCCATAAGTTACGCTGCGCATTTGGGGCATTTTCAACGCTCCTTTCCTCTCCCGGTTACGGCATGGGGGTATTAACACGCGCATGATCAACTTTTATTCCAGACAATATTAGTCCTTTGACTTTTTGTAGTCGTCTTTGTTCATTCGACTTTTTGTCCGAACACCGTCCTTACCCACGCGTGCTTGCACAGGTGGCCACTGCCCGCCCATATTCCCCATGTCGCTCTGCCCTGTCCATATCATGTGTGCGCGAATGATGTCTTAGGCATCCGCGGTTGTGCAGCCGTGGTACTGCGCAGACACCGCTTCAGTTATTCGCACTGTGTCTGAACACGCACGAACTTATCAAAATGGTGTCTTTAGGTACCCTCGGTTGTGCAGCCGTGGTACTGCGCAGACACCACTTCAGTTATTCGCACTGTGCCTGAACACGCACGGACTTATACAAATGGAAGTTTGTGCTATTCGTTCACTACAACAATATTCGATTGCCTCAGCTAAGTCGAGAAGAGAGCTGTAACTTCTGCATCTCCGGTGTGGTTTGGCCCAGCCTACCCCAGTCACGCTATTCCTGGGCGTATATGTTTTTTTTCAGTAATTAACTGTGCTGCTGAGCGTTTGTCAGCAAAACTCAACACAGTTCCTTGGAAGCCATTCTCAAACATGTCCAAGGAATTAAATGCGAGGTGGGGCTGAGCTTAATAATTTGATGAAAATGCACTTAAGCATACATTTTCCGTGAAGCTGAAACATCACCAGATGTTCGCCGTTCTCGTTCGATTCACTTCACTCGTTCGATTATATTGTAGGCATGGGCTATTTATCCGCAAAAGGCGATGTGAAATGAAGCTTAGTCTTATGAGACCCAAAATAATAACGGAGCAAAATCAATTCTGATTGACGAGCCAGGAAACAGTAAATCGTAGCGGCAGAGACGGGCAACGACATGACGGCCAGTTACGTGTCACCGACGAACAAGCATGGAGTTATTGAGCGCTCGAGGACATGCGGCTTATATGAAAGGTTTCATGATTTTATGTGAAGCATGCTGCATCGTGCAGGCAAATGCACCGTTCAGGAACCAAGAAGTTAGCTCAGCACGTTCCGACCCCATATCAATATCAACAATCGGCTGGGAAACAAACCGTATCGTCATTCTTAGAGCTGGCTTCGAATGCAGTGTTTCCTGGCTTAAGCAGGGAGATTGGTCGTGCGAGAGGTGTAGGCGACCAGCTTTCGGCCATACAGCTCATTTGTTTATTTTTGGCCACTTTGCGTTTTTGATGTCATTTGATTAATCTTTTCAAATTGAATTATTTTATGTTCACCACTAGTTGCATTTTTACAAGCTTTTAGCTAAAGAAAGGGTTAATAGTTTATGAAAATTTCAACCGATAGCTTAGATCTACGAACAACTCATGGCTTAAAAGTAAAAAATAGGAATGACCGAACTTTTGGGAAAGCAGCTGGAAGAGAGCTCGGTTGTGAGCTTAAGCTGGCTTCCATGCCATTGCGAATGCAATCCAGCAGTGGAGCGGGTTCTCTCACATATACGCTCGGATTGGCCCAAGAACAGGTCGGAGTTAGTCCAAATACAAGTCCGAGCTATCTTAACCGCGCAACGTGGATTAATAGCAGCAAACCAAGTACGAGATCAGATCATTTAAACGTACGCCATTTGCTACACTTTCTCGCCATAGCCCGAAGGTCGGCACGGATTATCACTGTCGGCCTCTTTGGGCTTGCCCATGGGAAGCCTGCACGGATTAATATTTTCTTGAGCAATACAATCTACTCAGCATTGGTGTAGTTTCGCAAATATGGTGGAGGTTGCAATAAAAATGACGAAATCTTCTCCCAAAGTACGCCAACAAACAGCTTTCTCCGCAAGTCGGCTTCTGTTTTCTGTTTTCTTTTTTAGGGGAGAGGCGGCTGGATTCAAAGAAGTACGTGCCTGCTGCTTAGGCATCCCGGGCGCACCGATTCCAAAAAGCCCACGAGGAAGCACTACCAGGGTACTCCTTTGCTTAGATCAGGAAGACGCACAAATCATATTTGTATCCGTAACGTGTCATCAAAACCTTGCCCTGCATATGACATTGGTTCCGCGTACAGCCTATTGTCCATCATCCACACTTGGTTTTTGGAATACCACGCGTAGGTGTGTGGTTCGCAGTTAACAGGCTGACGCGCGTACTTCATGGGTACGACACATGCACGTGGTGTCCTCGCAGAGGAAGAAGTATTACCTTGATATGGTAGCATCCTACCGATTTGTTGTCCAGGACATACATGACGCAGCTCGGACGATCTTGACGCTATTCATTTGACTGCTTAAGGCTTTCCAACACTGCGAATGGTGCAGGGTGTTAGGTTGGGCCGGGGGTATTGCACGCATATAGTGTTGATATTCCCGGCGTTTAGTGACTTGACTTTCATCGCTTATTTTTAAACCTTAGTGTTTTGTGAAAAAAGATATGAGGTAAGTTCTCAACAGTCCTTCAATTTCCTGAGTGCAGTAATAACGTAGATGGCTGAAACGTGTTGACCATATGGTCCAGTGCTAGGTGGCCAACCAATTGACCGGTCGTATGCTTTCAAATGGCTTTCTCACTATCAGGTTACCCTCATGCTGGCTTATGCCTATGCTCGTAATTTGTTTTATGCATTATTTTCAATATTTGAGTAGTTGTCAAAGTGGGATCTGGAAATGAAGGTTGCTCCTGAAACTGCCCCCAGGATGTGTGTGTAAAAGTTGACTTTTTCAAGAAGTCAGTAGTGATAAGTAATACATACCATTGCTGTTCAGTTGGTTATATAGTGTATCATGCAATTATATTAAAGATAGATTGCCTGTTTCTATCATCTTAATTTGTAAAACATCTGCCACCTTAGTTTTTCAAAATTTAAACATGTGGTACATTTTCTCTGTGCTTCATTGAACAGCAATGTGAAACAACATTGCAGACAAGTGATAGTGTTCCTCTGAGAGGGGCATCATACTGTTATTTGCCTGGTAACCACAGAACATTGTCAGGGCTGATGGTCAATGTTTTTGCAGAAATCTTGGGCTATTATGTTCAGAATAGCATCAACTCACAAAGAAGCAGCCCAATTTCTATTTCACAACAGGTATAAGGAGACCATATGTAGCACATTGGCTTGTGGACAAAAATATGAGCATCATATGAAAACACAGTTGATGCTAATTTTAAATGGTAGTGTTATAATTCCAGTACACAAAATAGAACTGGAGATGCTGCACTAGTTCTTTGATCTAGCTTATTGCCACAAGCTGTATTGCAAGTATTATATATATAAGCTGTATATAGTTGTAAGATATATAATAATATGTATATTAAGTTATAATGATATGTATATTAAGTTATAATAATATGTATATTAAGTATATAAGCTGTATTGCAACCTGTAGTATTGGCATATTGTTGTTGATGCCATCCCTGTAGGAAGGGAATGATAACATGTGATTATTAAGCAATAATACTGTACTTATGTTGTTTTGTGGTACATGAGCTTGTTTGTGTGGTATAAAACTTTGTATAAAACCTCCCTTTTAGAAGTTAATTCTTGTGTAATATTGAGCCAACAAATATTGTGTTTTGTTTAATCATCAGTCCTTTTCAGTATCATGTGCAGGAAGTTACACCATGGCTTTTGTGATAAGTGTGTGCAATCTTGAGAATGACTGTCTTTTTGAGAACTTTACTCCTAGGATGAACATCAAGGCACTTCAGCAACACTCTTTACTCATTGAGTTGTCATTTCCATAAGTTTTTCATTGGATAGAAGATTATCCATGTTGAGTTCCCTTGCATAATATTCTTCTATCACCTGAGTTGCCTGGTAAAATGTGTAGTGCATAAGAAATATTACCAGTAGCTGAATGACAAGTTCTGCTTGGAAATTTGCAGAATGTATTGGTATATCTATGCACTAGATTTGCAATCACAGTGAACAGGTTATTTTTATTTATTGGACATCTTCTAATGCCAATGGTGTATGTTCACCAAAGGTCGATGGTGTATACACAGTGGATGAGGATGCCTTTTTAGCTGCCAATCAAAGATCAGTGGCATTGCAATCATAGGTATTGATTTTGTCCTCAAAATAATGATGTTTGCATTGCCTTGCCAAAAGTCCTGAATGTATTAGAAAACTGAAGTAAAAGAGGCATGCTTTCTGGCTTCATTGCTGAAGTTTTCAAAGCTACTTGAAGTAAGGAGGTAACTGCATGCAATCACCATTACCTGATTGCCTACCAATGTAAGAGGAATCAGACTTGCTCCCATCCCCCTCCCAAATCAGTCCAGAATTGCATGCAAAGAAAATGGGTATGCTCACCTTATTTTGATGGCCTTCAGTTTTGCTTTTTGCTGTGCATCACCATGATTCTTTTGAATTTATACTTTAACATGGACCTAGTGAGGAGTGAGAGCGTCCTTGTCATGCTTCCATTGTGGCGACGGCGGTCTTAGTTTGTAGTGTTATGGCTGCAGACAAAACTCAGAAGTGGCATATTTCAAAGCACTCCATATAGGCTGCAGTTTAAAACATTTTGTTGAATATGAATTATTGCATATAAACATCATTTTCACATTGCATTCATGCTACAGGCACTTTGCATTACACCAGGCACACTGTGTGACAATATAGGCAGCGTGGGCACACATTGTATGGCAGTGTAGGCTGTGTATGGCAGTCAATGCAAATGATCAGATGAGAGCCATGCTATAGCGAATAAGGGGGGGGGGGGGGTGTTAGGGTTAGTGTTGGCCAATTGATGTACTGAACTGCAAACCTTATTCATGAATAGTTGAATATCCATTAAAAGAGGTTGATCCTTTTATTTACAACTTCTAATTTTCTTTTCAGCAGCTTGTTGGCAGGGGCATTATTTTTGTAGGTTATGCCATCTGAGCTCAAACCTTTTCTAACCTTTTCTCCTTTTCAGCTCGAAGGTGTCCTTCAAGATTACCCTTACTTCAGATCCGAAGCTGCCATACAAAGTGTAGGTTGCATTCAAAATGCTATTGGTGTTTATGTTTATCTGGCATTGCTTAGCTTTAAGTGAACTGATGGATCAATGTAGCCAACCTAATCCATGAATGAATCAACTATGAATCAACCTAAAACTCGAGTAAACACGAGTGCTTTGTTTACAAGTGTTTATAAGTGTATCACGGCACTTCACACTTGGAAGCCATGTGTACGAGTGACCGTGCTGGACGCTCTGATGCTGTGCACGCCTTGGTCAGCACTGCCTTGTGTCCTGCAGCCTCAGCGTGCCGGAGAGCACGCCGTTCACGGCCGTGCTTAAGTTCGCCGCCGAGGAGTTCAAGGTGCCTCCGGCCACGTCCGCCATAATCACCGACGATGGCGTGGGCATCAACCCCCAGCAGACGGCAGGTGTGTAGGTAACACTGTCCTCATCAACCCCCAGCAGACGGCAGGTGTGTGGGTAACACTGTCCTCATCAACCCCCAGCAGACGGCAGGTGTGTAGGTAACACTGTCTTCATCAACCCCCAGCAGACGGCAGGTGTATGGGTAGCTCTGTCCTCATCAACCCCCAGCAGATGGCAGGTGGATGGGTAACAATGTCTTCATCAACCCTCAGCAGACGGCAGGTGTATGGGTAACACTGTCCTCATCAACCCCCAGCAGACAGCGGGTGCGTAGGTAGCACTGTCCCCATCAACCCCCAGCAGATGGCAAGTGAGTAGGTAACGTCCTCATCAACCCCCAGCAGGCGGCAGGTGTGTGGGTAACACTGTCCTCATCAACCCCCAGCAGACGGCAGGTGTGTGGGTAACACTGTCCTCATCAACCCCCAGCAGACGGCAGGTGTGTAGGTAACACTGTCTTCACCAACCCTCAGCAGACGGCAGGTGTGTAGGTAACACTGTCCTCATCACCCCCAGCAGACGGCAGGTGTGTAGGTAACACTGTCCTCATCAACCCCCAGCAGACGGCAGGTGTGTGGGTAACACTGTCCTCATCAACCCCCAGCAGACGGCAGGTGGGTAGGTAACACTGTCCTCATCAACCCCCAGCAGACGGCAGGTGTGTAGGTAACACTGTCCTCATCAACCCCAGCAGGCGGCAGGTGTGTGGGGTAACACTGTCCTCATTAGCTCCCAGCAGGCGGCAGGTGTGTAGATAACACTGTCATCATCAATCCCCAGCAGACGGCAGGTGCATGGGTAACAATGTCTTCATCAACCCTCAGCAGACGGCAGGTGTATGGGTAACACTGTCCTCATCAGCCCCCAGCAGATGGCGGTGACATGGGTAACAGTGTCTTCATCGACCCCCAGCAGACCGCAAGCGCGTGGGTAACACTGTCCTTATTAACCCCCACCAGACGGCAGGTGCGTAGGTAGCACTGTTCCCATGAACCCCAGCAGACAGCAAGTGGGTAGGTGACATTGTCCTCATCAACCCCCAGTAGATTGCAGGTGCGTGGGTGACACTGTCCTCAATGGCGAGAGAGGGTAGCATATCTGAAAAATCAGTATAGCAATGTCTGCAGGTCATCGGTTCAGAAGCGGTCTGACACGTCCTGTAACATGTTTTTTTTCTATACCGTTGCCCAAGAACGGGTAGCCAGGAATGCCCCTCCGTCTATCCCAGCGACGCAAAAAACGGTGCGTTAACACCAGAACACATGAAATCAAGTCGCGACACTCCCAGCTGAAAAAAGAGCAGGCGAAGAGGTGTTGCAGACCCAGCGGTTTTGGTGTCATGCAATAGCTAAGGACAAATCAAACATTAGAAGGCTTGAAATAGCCATAGCCAAAGTCATCTGATGACAGTCCGCTGGAACCACTCAATAAACTACTAGCACTCATTCACGTTGCTGGTAAAGGTTATCTGCCACACAAGTTGGAGGGCAATTGCCTTGTCACTGTCATGCTGGGTCTTGGGGTGGATCTCCAGGGAGTCCACTCAGCTATGTGGAGCCCGTTGCTGAGAGAACTCCTGGAGTCAGCGTCTTGAATTTGGGTACAAGTGCATGCACACGGATAAATAATAATGTGACCATGAAGCATGAAGGGGGTGAAGTGGGCAGTGAGTTACATATCTACAGGGCAAAGCCAATCAATCATTGCAATAGCTCCAAATGTGTTGGTTACGTTAAAGGGAATGTTTCACATTTGAAGGCATTGAAGCAAACAGATATGATGAAATAAGCTCACTTATAACCAGTGCTATGCATGCGGGGTGGAAAAGACTGCTCTGGACAGCACAATTCTCTGTTTAGTAAATATTTTCCTCAACATTGGTCGAGAGCCAATTAACGGCCGTTAACTGTGGAAATCGTGCTCACGGACGCCAGATATGAACGCCTGAACAATTATGTTTGATGGACTTGGTCGCCACATGGTGCACGGAATGGCAGGATGTGAATGGCGTTATCATGACGTCTTGAATGCCAAGGTAGCTTTGAAAAACTTCCCGATATAGCTTTTCCCATTTTCGTGGGCGTGTAGCTCAGAAACTAGAGGGGCTTTGGTCTCAAGAAGCGCAGGTTTGTGGACAGCAATAAAAGGTCTTTAAGGTGACTATTTCAGTTCAAAATTACAGATGAATGTGGAACATTCCCTTTAATATACAGTGACGAAATGCTTGTGGGTGGTATTTTCAACGATGGTTTTTGATCCAGGGACATCAGCTATTGTTGAGAAATGTGAAATCATAATAGCATTCCACAGCTCAGGGCCAATGAAATATTTTGTAAATAGCCTATAATTACGATTTGAGAATGTTAAACCATGTCGCCCTGTATGCTTTGTTGGTGCGCCGACCTCTGGATCAGTTTGAAATAGCGCTGCGCTTGTGCCACCCCCTCACCGAGCCCGGCTCCCTCTCGACAGGCACGGTGTTCCTGAAGCACGGCTCGGAGCTGCGCCTCATACCGCGCGACCGCGTGGGATGCTGACCCCGTACCTGTCGGGCGGTGTCGAGCTGGTGGCGGCGGCCGGACAGCGTCCAGCGGGCGGCGGCGCCGACAGCACCGCCGCTCTCTGGTGGCAGCGCTGCCGACACTCTGTCAGACGTTCGTGCTGTCGACACCATTCCCCAATGAAACGTGACTCGCTTGTGTTTTTGTGGTGGCTGCTGTTGAATTTTCATTATTTTACTAGCATAAATAAGCGGTCGCACCGAGCGCTGTAGCATGTACGTACCGGTGCGAACCCGTTTGCCCACTTTTCCAAATTAATAAACGGATTTTGTAGCGGGGTCTTTTTGGTCCGCGGGTAACAGGAGCGGCGTGGGGGGGAGGGAGGGGGAGTAGCTCCGATGCGGGCAGTGGACGGCCGCCGGTCGACTGGTAATGGTGCGTCGGCCACCCGGACAGCGGCCGCGGCACGGCACGGTGCCGCCGGCCTACAATGGCCGGCGGCACGGCAGCGCGTGATTTATGGTAATGGGTGCAGAGCGGGCCGGCGGTGACACGGCCTGGCTGCCGGACCACTCCGTAGGCCGAGATTGAAACAAGCGGCGCCGCCGGTCCGTCCGCCCCGGAGCGACGCGTGACGCTAACGCGGCTAGACGGCGGCGCACGGACACGTGATATACTTGGAGCAAGCAAGCGGACGGGCGATTCATCGGGCGCGAGGTGGCGCACGAGCAGGTGGTACATCGGGGAAGAGATGGCGCACGAACAGGTGGTACCTCCGGGAAGAGGTGGCGCACGAGCAGGTGGTACATCGGGAAGAGGTGGCGCAACGACCAGGTGGTACATCGGGCAAGAAGTGGCGCACGAGCAGGTGGTACATTGGGCAAGAAGTGGTTGGACGAGCAGGCGGTACATCGGGAAGAGGTGCGCACGAGCAGGTGGTACATCGGGGGAAGAGGTGGCGCACGAACAGGTGGTACATTAGGGGAGAGGTGGCGCGTGAAGAGGGTGGCACATCGGGGGAGAGGTGACGTGTGACCTGAAACAGGTCACGTATCGACCACAATGCACTGCAGCCATTTTCTATGATTAGCCGTCTAGGTAATGTAGTAGTATCAAACTTTGGATGCGTGGCGAAGTGGCCTTTCTACAAAAGTGTTGCCAATTTTCTGCGTAAATGATTCAAATAACGATTGGCGCACACTTAGATAACTCGAAAGTAGCCCGTGAAATAGCAGTTCCTTTCAACACGAACGACGCGCGACCTGGATATACGGACACGGTCGGGTTATGTCTGTGATGAGTACTAAAAGAAAAGTCATGTAAATCTTCAGTAGGGGGCGCGGCCAGTGATTGAGGCGGAGAAAAGGGGGGGGGGACTAAAACTATTTGCGAAGGGATAATTTTTTCGAACGAGTCCCAGCTCCATGGACAGTGCCTACGCACTGCGAACAGACCAACAGATACCACAGGCGCTAAAAGGTACATCGTCTAGCAAATGAATGGGCTACCGATATTGGGTTGCCCTGGTGCCCAAAACAATCACTTCAGCGTCGCACGGGACATGTTCACGCGGCTTTCCTCTAGTCTTGTTGCTAAATGACGGCTGTTGGCCTCTACACGTTGCTTTCCACGGTGCTGGCTGTAATATTTATACCCAATATAGCTTTGCTGATCACGGAATCGCGCAATTATGTTCAGCGGTGCCTAGATGAAAACGGGGCTCGAACCTGACGGGGAGGAAAGAGGCCCATGAGCTGCACTGTTGCTTCGCAGGACCAGCAAAGTCGGGGAAGTTTTTTATCTCCGATAAGGAAGGCCGAAAAGTTATTGAACAAGCAGATAATAATATGTATCCAGTTTGCATTGGTACTCCTACTCCACAGAGCATTTGATGTTACCTTATTTTACGACCCACCTGACAGACTGGAGCTGTCTATTGAACACAAGACCAAAGGCGTGTTGTGTTTTTCTTTCCGTGCATACCAGATGAGCAATCCGTCTCGCTACATCGGGACAGTAGACTGCCTCACGGCTGAAGCGCGCGGAGAGAAAAACCACCACGTGCGTACAAAATCCGGCTGAGGAATTTTTGAATGCTCAGTTCCCACCGCGACCGCCCGTCCTCGTTTATGTCGTAGATCCAGCAACCGTGGTTTGTGTCCGCCGACCGCCGGGGACGTGGACGGCAGCGGATGGTAAAAACCACGGCATAACCGTGTGTATTTAGGGTTAGCCTCCGCCGGTCGTGATCGACGGGCATCAGCTGCCTTCAGATTCCACAAACGTAAACGAACATATTCGGGTGCGATGGAGACCCGGCTTCAGTCCTGCTGAGCCATTCGTTTACTGGAGCCCTGGTTTCAATCACCTGTGAAAATCAAGCACTCCCGCACGTTAACAAGTAAAGCATTGTCGGCAGCAGTGTGAAACAATAACGTTGGTCTCGCCGGGAATTGTCCCATCCTGAGTTTAATCCCAGGAGTGGTAGAATACTATGTGTAAAAACGCACCAGCGAAATCAAAAGATGCTAACTTAAGGTAGTTGGAGAAGTTCAACATTTGCATCGAATGCTCCGATGAAATTCACCAGGTCCAAGAACAGCGATGTATAGCCTACTGTGAATGATATATGCCTACGCTTTTCTCGTCGATTCGTCATGAATGCAAATGGCTTGTTTGCGGTTTGCTGCTCCAGAGACTTATTATGCTTCTGTGGGAATAATTGCGCAGCGGGAGAAAACGCCAGATACCTGGCACTGTTTCGCGTGGGTTCCGGTTTCAACATTGTTCCAAGTGCGCACGAGAACTCGCCTCCTATAAAAATGTAAATTTGCCGCCATCCAATCTGCTAATGGAATACTCCGTGGTAGCCGTGGATTGAATATTCTTCATTTGCATCCTGACCATAGCCACGCGGCCTATCCCGCGGGATGGTCCCAAACACGGCAGCGATCGGTCGCGCTCGACGCGAGGGCCCTGTAATTGTCATTACAGACGGATCCGAATATCCCAGGAGCTTTTCGTGATGCCATGCGGGCGTCGTTTGTTTGCCGCAAACGCTAGATTACCCGCACGGCTGAGGCTTCGTAACTGCCGCTGGACCAGCCTATGTCGTACAATGCAACGTTCATCCCTCGAAATGGAAGACTATTTATGCAGGAGGATGACGTCCTTGTTTCATATATTCGTATATATATATATATATATATATATATATATATATATGAACATATTATTAAATATATCTGGGCCCAGTCATTGTGTGCGGTTTTCCACGGTTATCATGCGATTCACCTGAAGACCACGTAAATGACCAATCAATGTTGATAAGCTGTGCTTTGTGTTCCCCAACATTGTGGGGTAAATTTTCCAGTGAGCCTTGGCTACTTATTTGAGTCACGTTCGTTAACCTAATGGTGGACGTTTGCGCTCACATTGATGCGATGTGCTTTTTTAAAATGCAGGATTTCGCACAAAGGTGAAGCAATGCGTTTCTCGCTTCTAAACAAAAAAGCAAGATTATACTGAAAGCATGAATGGTTGGATGCGAGAGAAAAGATGTTCAATATAAATAATTTGTTTCTCATAAATTTGATCCGAACCCTTTGAATGAATGGATTTCTGGGATCAGTGCCCACCGCTAAGCAGTGCTTGTTGTGGTGAGCTCTGACCCCTACCATCCGATCGCGCAATCCCAGGCAACGGCAGAATTTAGTGGCGAAAGCTTAACGTGCCGCAATGCTCGGCACGGCCGTCCTGCCTTCTGACGCCACCTGACGTTCAACGCTGCCGCTGCCACCGGCCGCACGCCATACCTGTCAAGGGCAAATAAGCGAGCGCCCTAAAGCGACTCGAACCCGGCCTTCCGATCCACCCACCACGGGTGAGTGGATCGGAAGGCAGGCGTTCTAACCAACTGAGCCAATGGGACGGACCTATATAATGGATAATGACATTATATATCATACGTTTGCCACTGGATCTGTCCAAATCTTTTGATGTGATGAGTCATGTTAAGCCTCTTGAAAAACTGTTGCTTCATGGTGTTGACCCTGACTGGTTTGAAAACTATCTTCGCAACCACAGGCAGAAAGCAATGTTCACCTGTAAACATCTTATTAAAATCACGACCGCTTGAAAATCCAATAGGGAATTATCAGTGTAGCGCTCCCGGTCCGTTCATATACAATACTTTGTCAAATGACGTCACCCTCCATGTGGAAGACGGTGTCCATGTAGTCCAGTGCGCGGACGACGCGCAAATAATCGCAACCGGCAGAAAGCTGACTTGGCTGACTGAACTGAACTTACAGCGAAAATGGAACAAGCAGTCTCCACACTATACCAATGGTTTGGACAGCACGCTATGAAGCTGAATGATAGCAAAACCCAGCTTATCGTCACCGAAGCTCAGCTAATGGTGCGGCACGAGACTCCCGTCTAAATCCACGTCCTAGGCAGCGCGATTGAGGAGAGCGGCACGGCACTTAACCTTGGGTTGACCTTCGACCGATCGCTCCCCTTCTCAACACACATTGTCAGTATGAAGTATGCTGCAATGGGCTGCTTGTGACCCTGTGTCATTTAAGGCATATCATGCCAGTGCGTATATCGGCGCAATAGTATGGAGTTTAGTCATCTCTAGAGTTGGCTACTGTATATCTATGTACGCCAGCGCAAGCCAGTCAAGCTTCAGAAAGGTTCAGTCAATCATAAATTTTTGCGCGAGGGTCACGTCGCCGGAATTTCAGCCATGTTTCTGGCGTGGTAAACCAAACCCCAGCCCTGAATGAGAGACGGCTGGCATATTACCACAACCGTAGTATTTCTTTCTGAGATCATATTAACAGGAGAACCATGAGCATTGGCGAATATTCTCAGCACAACATCAACACGACAGGAAGACGCACCCACCAGCCACACATCAGGCTGACTACCGGCGCATGCGCACAGTTGCAAACGGCTGGTTATCAGACTCCTGTCGACTACAAGCTCCTGCTACACTGCGTTAGGGCCCTAAATCACTCGTGCTTTGCTGGCACAGTCAGAGTTCCTACATGCCATCGGGGCGTAAGCGCGCGTTTGTAATAGATGTAAGGTTATGTGCCTTTTGTTGATTGAGTAAGCGATACTGTGCCCGGAAATGTTTAAGACATGACATAGCGCACCAATAACCAAGCGTGCATTTTACCTGCTTG